TGATTCATCTGTTGACAACACAATGCAGCATTCATATTCTAGACTACATTTTGTTAAGACAAGATTGCGGCCGACACAAACCCAGTGGCAGTCAGTGTGGTTACATTAAGGAAAATTTCAAAGTATCTCCAATGGAGAATATATCATCTGTCCCTGATAATGGCTTCCAACAGTTACGGCAGAAAGTGCAAAGTCATTGCTCAAAGTCATTCTTTATCTGTACAGTTTATCGTCCACCAAGCACACCATTAAATTTCATAGATGATCTTGCTGAAAATATCATGGAGTCTCTTCTATTAGGACTCGATGTCATTATACTAGGTGATCTAAACTACAACTTCCTTCGAGATAATATAGATTCTTGCATCCTTGTGGATTTTTGTTCGACTTTTAAACTCACACAGCTAATCAATAAACCAACTTGAGTTGCAGAGAATAGTGAATCCTTGATTGACGTCGTAATGACAACCAATAAAGACTTAGTTGCTTCTAGTGACGTCCTGATGTAAACTACTAGTGATCACAACCTCATTTATATAACACTGAAGATAAAAAAGCCAAGAATCAAGCCCTCTTATATAACCATCAGAGGCTACAAAAGTTACAAAGTCAACAATTTTCTGCATTACCTGTCCCTCATGCCTTTTCATATAATAGAGAGCTTACAGATTGATGACTTCTTTTACGATGATAATGTCTGCTCAGCAGAAACGCCCCACTACACATGCGCAGAAGGTGTTGCATAAGATTGATTGTCGTCTCGTGGCCGGTGACCACTGCAGAAAGAGTGTTTGGAAGTCGTCTTCAGAGTTTTGCAACTTAGGTTTGTTCTGGCCTTTTTCTTTGCGCTTTTATGTCTTTTCGTTTAAGAATGCTTTTCAGTTCGCTTACAAGTTAACCTAAGAGGCTTTTTTTTATTCCTGAAGTCGTAGCTTCCTTTTCTTTTATGGCTGGAGACGTGAGAAATGGTAGATGAACCTTCAATAGAACCTCTGCCTTTCATTTTAGCTGTAAGCACAAGGTGATCATAAATATAGGCTGAATAAATGAAGTGACATTTTAAGCCCAGAAATTCAACCTTCTATTAAAGTTTCTAGCATATCAAATGTAACTGTATCAATGGATTGGAAATTAGGGGGGGATTTCAAGCATTCTTCGAAGCCTTAATACCCTGCATGTAGTTGTATTCAGGCTTAACTTCACATTACGCTGTTGTCATGTAAGATTATTATTCCCATATCTATCAGTTAAAGATGGCAAAGTCGTGTACTTCAACAATGATCTGCATAGCTATTCAACCACAGTAATTTCGTTTTGATATAAGTACATGTACAGCCAAGTTTTTTTCAATCTGGACAGTATTTTTGTATCCCAAAACAAACTTGCAAGTCTTAAGTCAGTCTTATGTACAACTTCATTATTGACATTTTAAGCCATTTCATTGCTTAAAAGTTTATCTTTAATTGGGACATTTGTTGTTAAATGAATGTTCTGTCGAACCTCTAAACAAAAATTTGGCACTTAGGTTATTTCTTCACAATTTTTGTAGGACCAGGAGAGAGTTCTTCCCAGCAAATGCAATTTATTGCTTACAACATGCCAGTGGACAATCTAGGAAATTGTTTACTATATGCTGTGCTAAATAAGTACACAATTTATCTATGTAAGAGCCGATTTGCCTTTTTAGATGGTGTGGGAATGGTTTATGTTTTTCTTAGACAAGATTATTTACATGTAGGTGCTTCTCATTTAACTACATAGACTGCTTACTTTTCTCTTCATATCTGACACATGTAACTCTATTACAGGACTCTACCAATGAAATGGACTGGAGAGTATGATGTCATGCTAGGAAGGAGAATTATACTGTTTGAATTATGGAAGTATATTGATGGTAGTTGCAAAAGAGACCAGTGTCTGGATTGAATTGCAGAGTCTTAACCAGTTGAAAAAGCCATGCTTTAAAGCGTCTCAGAAGTCTAGTCAGTGAGAGTCTGACTCAAAATATTAGAGCGAGATTTCAAAGAGAAGGAAGGATTTGAGAGAAATACTTCTGGGATTTCTTCAGAAAAGAGAGGACTTGATAAAATAATGGAAGACTGCTTGGAACAAAGGAAGAACAGGAAAGGGAGGCAAAGAGGCCTTAAAAGAATCACGAGCTAAAGTAGCAAAAGACAAGGCTACAGCAAGAGATACGAGAAGCAAGGCAATGGAGCGTCTATCAAAATCAAAGAAAAGAGCTGGGTCTGATCTACCAAAAAGAAAAAGGAAGCACAGTGGAAATGACACTCTTGAACACTTGAGAGAGGCATCGGTAGAGATTGTGAACTGAAGCAAGAACTTGAATCTAAAATGGAACAGGAGAAAAGTGCAGAGCCCAACAAACCCCTATGCTTCAGCAGATGAAGAATCAACAAGAACAATTTTAAACAATGCTTCAAATGTTCATGCAACAACAGCAAACGCAAAGCCACGCCCTGCTTGAACTTTTGAAAAAGAGAAATTTAAATCTAACATTCAATTATATTTAACAAACTGATTTTTATGGTTGTAGTCAAGTTTATGGTTGTAGTTTTTGTGGTTGTTGGAGAACTGATAAGCATTATTTTTGGGAAGGAAATTGGCTTCCCAAAACTAGTTCTCATCAATGTTTATTCATGGGATACCCTCCTTAGCCCCATATTCATTATATACCGCTAATCCCTATTTACAAATAATGAAAAGTTGAAAACAAATTCTGCTTGTTGTATATTGTTGAGTTCTTTAGATTGATATAGAAATATACAAAAATAACAGAGGTTTGTTTATCATCTGTGTGCTCTTTCCTTATAACTGTAACTCGAAAGAAACATCAGTTTATAAAGGTGTTGTTGTTATTAAGGACAAATTTGGAGTTGTTCTTTGTTTACAGTTATTACTGTTTTAAGTTATATTAAATTAAATAACTATCTAATGGGAGCAGATTAATACTAAAGTATTTGTAGCTAATAGACTGGTACAAAATAGTATGAGCTTTCTGAATCAAGGCACATTTTATGTACATTTTCCCCACTGCACTTAAACACCAACTTGAAGGTTCTTCATAAAATCCTGAAATTTAAAGTAGTTAATAACGTCACAATCAGCTCTGCTGAATGTCACAGATCAGTTACTCCAAGCTATCGATAGCAAGACAGTTTCAACTGTGAATGTGAAAGCGATCTTCGCAGTGATGAACACTACTTAAGTGTGTGTCCACAAGAGCACCAGGCAGTCATGCTACATGCCATCTCACCGATTTCAATGAAACTTTGCCAGTTTAAAGGGTCTACCCAAAACTCAAAATGGCAGAGTGATTTCTCTTTTCGTTATTTCCGGGGGGAGATAGACCACCCCCCCGTTTTCTTGGGTTTTCACCAAGAAATCGCTTCAAAATAAGTAAATTGTATGAAGTTCTCACTGCAACTGTATTTAACATATTACCCTGACAGTCTGCAGACATATTGGTACATCCTTAAGAAACGCATGAGGCATAATTCAATTTATTTGATTGACGGTTTGTCAATCAGCAGTGCCGAATAAATTACTGTGTTTCCGATCTTTCCGATTCACTCGCATATTTGATAACTTTGAGGTCAAATATCTCCCCTTACCAGAAAGCTACAACACTAATTTGGATGCCCCTTTCTAATCCATCATTTCGTCACTGAAAATCAGTAAAAAAATTTTTGGGCGCTGCCATATTTTTGTCTTGGTTGCCTTTTGAAATCTGCGACTGTGACAAGCTTCTCGACTACGAGTGTCACGCAATCCTGGCTGTAAGTGGTCATTTAAGCAAAGAAACCGACATTTTGTAGCTCGTTATACAAGCTGATTGATCTAGGAAGCTAAGAAATGTAAACAACTTTCGAGATTTTTTGTAGTAATGGAAATTTCACATTTATAGAGATGCATGTAAGCAAAATATTGATGAGAAAATCGTAAGGCTTTTCTCCTCTGTCGTTTATTTTGGAGATTTTGCTAAAATCAGCAGATATGGCTCTCTTACGGAAAAAATATTAATTAGTCTTTGATTTGATTGTTTACTATCACAGTTTTCAATCAAGACATTGTAACAGGAAAGGAGATTTCAAAGACACATGCCGCCTACTTGTTGACGAGCAAGTTCCTGTGTAAAACAACTTCGGGTCTTGCATACAGTGGATGACGAGAAACTCTGCTGTCTCGCTTGAGAGGAAATATCAATAGCTCTATCAAGTTTATAAATTGCGTTATTTCTCCAGAAAATGAGCCTGGAAAGTGTTTTTGTCACCATTTACCACCATAAAGAAATCCCGCACAGAAATGGTATTTGTAGTGTGACCTCGAGCCCTGTCATGAGAAGAACAAAAAATCATTGACCTTTTTCAAAGTAACAACACTTAAATGTTCTTAACACCTCTGTTATTATATCTGCCTTATTTTCTTCCACAAATATCATCTTCATCTGCCATTATTTTCCCTGAATGTCATGGCCTTTCCTGCGTGCACCTACCAGCCAGCTGTTAGAGAGCACCATTGAGTTTTGACGCGCGGTGTCGGGTTTAGATGTTTAGGTCTTGCTTAAACATTTCTGCACGCTGCAAATAGGCAACTTTTTGTTTTTGTTTTTAATCATTATCGTTTATCTATTTTTTGGAAACTTTTGTGAATGGTAAACCATTAACGTTACATGTATAGTATGTGATGTGCTTGTTGCACTGAATCCGTGACCCTAAAACACACACGTACTCGTACGTGTAACGTCGGAAAATGTCACGCATGTACAACACACTATAGGCACACATTAGGTCGTTGCGAATACTTTCTGCTTGCTTCACCAAATCTGTAACCCCCCAACACATCACGTACCCGTGCACGTAACATCCGAAAAGCACCTTAGCGAAACGGTCGAAAATAGACATGAAAATTAAGAACGTTTACCCCATTTGTAAAACTCCTTGGTGAAGTCTGTTATTTTCAGATGAAATGCATAAAGAGATTAAAAGAAGTTTTCACTATTTTAGTTCGGGTAGTGATACTCTCCAGTTAATCATGAAAAAGACAAGTTTCGTCAAAAAAAAAAACGAGAACAAAGTGTCATCTTGCTTCTGAGTCGGGTCGTAACACACATCTGATGTAAAATCACGTCCACCTTGGCAGAAAATCAAGCTCACCGTATCATAATGAATTTTTTGATACGATATGGTGAATCATTGTACTTTGACTAAAAAATGTGCCTTTCCTTTCCTTTCCATTGATCATTACATTTGGAAACTCATTTCACTTGAATGCAATGTCACTCAGCTTGACGCTTCTTGACTCAGGCCGACGATGCGGCGACGTGACCTCTTTTGATCTCCCCCTCCCCCTCCCCCTCCCCGAAAGTCCTGTCGAATGTTTTAACATTTTTTTTCTTGTCTTGGCTTGCATGCAATTAAAGGCAAATTCTGGAAGGTATTTCAAAGTAAATTCTTCATGATTCAATTTCCGAAGTGTTTTGTAACAGCCCGAGAAGAAACAAAATAAAAACATCACATATCCATGAAACGACTTCCTACTTCCGTTTACACTGTACACTTCCTCTCTTTTGTTCTCCCTAACTATACCATTTAATAAGTTTCTCAGGATATTATTAAATCTACCAAAGAATTTACTTTCTTCCCCGTGGTCTGCAAGCTAAAGCATTTTACACGGTGTTGGAAGATAATTTCTTCGTTATTATTGTATCGACCAGCCTTCATAAATCTGTAGTTTGCATGGTCACTCTTTTTCCAAGTTAATTTCAAGGGGGTCAATGTTATGTGACAGCTGGAGATAGACATATCTGAAACGTCACGTAACTGTAAGAGAATTTCCTCTTCCGATAATATTTTTCCTTCCTCTCAAGGAGTCAGCATGACGGATATTGTTGATCCTATCTAGCGTACGTGAATTAGTCGTATTACGTCATCATGATAAAGTCATGTAAGTGTGCAAGCGTTTAAGAAGCCCTCAATTCAACCTAGAACTCGAATTGAGGGAGTCAAGATGGCACAGTTATCTTGTTCATTTGAACCTTACTGTAGAACCAAATGTGATTTTTCTTCATGCTGGCCGGGACGACAATGACTCATACCCCTAGCTTCGTGCATGGATAGCATAAAAGAACACTTGAGAGACGTCAATGTATCTCATAGATGCGTTTCCTCCGAGAAAGAGCTTATTTTAGTTCGTGTTAGCTTATTTGGAGGTTCTGAAGGCCACGATTTCACGGTATACCCTATATATCGTGCACAACTTGGTGTGAGATTCCGACCCTTGATAAATGCCAGCATCCCCTCCATGGAAATCGGAGAGGTAAGGTTGAGAGAGGAGTAAATTTGAAGATGGTGCAAAATGGAACACTGTCGTTCCAGTTGGTGCAGGTAATTCATTATTGCATTTTGCGTCATCATGTAGACCGATTATATGCTGAATTGTTGTAAGACGCGTAACGTATGTTAGAGTCGATGAATAGGGTATGTGGAGAAAGCTTACTCAAAGGGAGCTTATCTGAACATAATTTTTTCTTACTTGTAACTTGTGACCGATTTGAAGATCATATCATATGTTTGTCAGGTATATGCAGATACTGCAGAGGCACTCACATAAACAGTTTGGAAGTGGGCGATCCTCCGTCTGACATCGAAACTATAACAAGTGAAATCCCAGTTTCGACAGAGGTGGAGTCCATGGACCAGACTGCAGGACCATCTCAGGAACAGAGAAGAAGGGAGTCCCCTGAGACAACCGAAGACAAATTTGTGTTGCCACGTTTACGCGTGCGATTTCGAGATGAAATTGGCAGCGAGGTAAGACTACATGTCATTCCACAATGTGTTTTCATAATGTGTAGAGGCCGAAAGAAAATATTGCAATACATGTTCTTATTTCATACAAAATACCCAGAATTATTCCTTGCTGAGCCCAAACGTTCTGAATTGCAATATTCTGAATTTTGATGTTTTAGACATAGTGATCTACGCTACGTCATTGGACCTGTGCATGCCACTGTCGTCCTCATTATCAAATATATCCCAATAACAATTGCGATCATAATTGTTAAGAATACGATTTATCATTATTGTTATTATTATTATTAATGTTATTATTATTATTATTATTATTATTATTATTATTATTATTATTACCATTATTATCGTCACTAGGAAGAAATGTATTTCTACAAATAATTCATGTAGTGGAGTCAGATGCGTGGAGTGTTCTGTTAATCGCCAAACAAGCTTTTTCTCTCTAATTTTTTTTTTGCTACAGTAGGGCGATCCAAATTCAGACATTATCTTGTTGTCGTCGCAGGAGTCGTTGGTGGGGGTAGAGACGTCTCACGAGTGGCAGCCTACTCCGCAGGTTGAGCATCAGCTGTGGTACCTTAACAGCTATCTAATGGAATCAACTGATGGCCGAATAAGCCCAGTCAGGTCTCAGTGCAAGTCCGATGTTATGACTATTTCATCGTCATCACAACGGTACTACCGCAAAAAAGCTAGCCAAGCTGTTAATACCGTGTTGAATGCTATTGCCCTGGGGAATTTATCGTGGCTGCTTCAGAAACTTTCAAAAAGTACCATAGCAGACGAGCTGTCCCTGTTACTTCTGAAGAGAACATCTTAGTGAACAGACTAGTGACCCTCTACAATGAAGCTAACTCTTGGTACAAATTCTCTCCCTCTTCGCCGGTGACTACAGTAAAACGGAACTTCTACAGCTGGTTCCGGGACTGACCAAGTTCAGGATTGATGAGGCGAGAAAACATGTGTATAGGACTAAACCTGGACAGCTCATAGAAACACCATCCATAACTAGATCAAGACGAGATCCCATTAAGGCTGACCATTTCCTAGACTTCATATCAAGTCCATCATATATTCAAGACGTGGCATGTGGAACTAAAACGCTAAAGCTATCAAATGGCGAGAAAATGGAAATTCCTAATGTCGTGAGAATGGCTATCTCATCCCGTCTGATACATCTGTATCACACTTATTGTATGGAGACGAACTTCAAACCACTCGGGAGATCAACGCTTTTTAATATCCTTAAGGTAAAGCCCTGTTTTATTCTTTGGTTTTTACGTGCTGGTGATTGCGCACTGTCGGGAGCAAAGTGTATGTGAAATGAAGATCAGCATTAGTTGCAGGTTTTGTTTCCTTTGGTTATAGACTGTTACTATCACACTCAAAATAGATACTAAATCAGAAATGTTTTGAACTTCAGATGTGCGCCGCCTCGCAGAAAAAGTCACAGGCGGGTCTGGACATGCTGTTAAAGGCACACAAATGTTTATAACCAATGTATTCCTCTTGATGCAGGCCTTCAAGATGATAAGGCAAGAGAAATTGTCTCACGTCTGCAAGGTGGTAAAAGCTATCTGTCCACCAACTTTAAGCTACACATCTCAAGTGAGATACCCTGTGCAGATCATTGCAGTGTATATGTGCTGAGTAGCGATGAAGCTGAGTACCGTGAAACCTGTTCTGATGTGAACAGGTTTGCCTGCATCAAGAGGAATACATTGGTTATAAACATTTGTGTGCCTTTAACAGCATGTGCAACCCATGCTGCAAAGATTGTATCGCTCTGACGAAGGGCTAACGCTCGAAACGTCAGCTTTTTTACCCTTTACGGTGGCTAATTTACGTTTTCAACCCAGTTGTTAACACTAAATTACCTGCTATACTCTCCCAGCGACGCAGCACCACAGTTTCTTTAGAAACTTACCCCTTTATAGAAGTAGGTAGTTGTCTACAACGTATGCAGATGTCTGAACCTGGGTCTTTGCGACAACTACCCAATCTATCACAGACAGAAGAAGAAAGCAAAAAATTTACTTGTCAGGAAGAAGGATGCATCAAGGTTTTCCAGTCGTTCGCTGCCCTCCGAAAGCACCTTGACATCGGCAAACACATGTTACAGCTGGCAAAAAAAATCCGCCTACAACGAGATCAAGAAGAAATGGATAGAGGCTGTCCATTCCGTAGGTGGTGGCTATGTTCACAGTCAGACCTCAGCTCAAGATTCTGGAGAACAATCCCTTGTTACCCAGGTGGATCTTGGATGGGCCCTTTGGAAAACGCGAAAAGTAGTTGCCATTTCTCAAAGAGCAAAAAATTATCTCGCAGATATGTTCTGGACGGGGGAGTAAACTGGTAAGAAGGCAACTGCCTCTGATGTGGCCTCCAAAATGAAGAGTTCAAGAGACGACACTGGCCAGAAAATGTTCTCTAAGACTGACTGGTTGACAGAGCAGCAGATCGCTCTATATTTCAGTGGGCTTTCTGTCCTGACGAGAACAGGTCTATTGCAGAGGTCCCCCTCTGTAAGTATGACCGAGGAGGAAGAGGTTGATGCAGATGACTTAGCTTTAGAAGTCACCACTGACCGTACAAGGCAGAAAATAAGGAGGGACCTTGAACTTTAAATTAGTCTTTTCTGAGGGGTGCGGTTGTCAACTTGTAATCCCATCTAAGGTTAGAAAGGCCAATTTTTGCCTTAGTTCTTTTTATTTTGATTGTAAACTGTGATAATAAACGATCAAATCAAAGACTAATGAATATTTTTTTCCGTAAGAGAGCCATATCTGCTGATTTTAGCAAAATCTCCAAAATAAATGACAGAAAAGAAAAGCCTTACGATTTTCTCAACAATTTTTCGCTTGCGTGCTGCTCTATAAATGTGAAATTTCCATTACTACAAAAAGTCTCGAAAGTTGTTTGTATTTCTTAGCTTCCTAGATCAATTATCTTGTTTAATGAGCTTCAAAATGTTGGTTTATTTGCTTAAATGACCGCCTACAGCCAGGATTGCGTGACACTCGTAGTCGAGAAGCTTGTCACAGTCGCAGATTTCAAAAGGTAACCAAGACAAAAATATGGCAGTGCCCAGAAATTTTTTTACTGATTTCCAGAGATGAAATGATGGATTAGAAAGGGGCATCCAAATTTAGAGTTGTAGCTTTCTGGCAGGGGGAGATATTTGACCTCCAAGTTATCAAATATTCGAGTGAATCAGAAAGGTCAAAAACAGAGTAATTTATTTGGCACTGTTGATTGACAAATCGTCAATCAAATAAATTGAAACATGTCTCATGCGTTCCTTAAGGATGTACCAATATGTCTGCAGACTGTCAGGATAATATGTTAAATAAAGTTGCAGTGAGAGCTTCATACATTTTACCTATTTTGAAGCGATTTCTTGGTGAAAACCCAAGAAAACCGGAGGGTTGGTCTACCTCCCCCCCAGATATAATGAAAACAGAAACCACTCTGCCATTTTGAGTTTTGGGGTAGACCCTTTAAACTGGCAAAGTTTCATTGAAATCGGTGAGATGTCATGTGGCACAACTGCCTGCTGCTACCAGTGCAGTGCTCTACCAACTGAGCTAACAAGGGAACTGGGAGCTAGTCACTGTGTTGGTTCCAAATAAACCCAGGAAGTGGTGAACAAACGGTTGTGAATATATGAAAGTCATATATTTGAACTACGGTTAAAGACGTGAATGTGAAAGCGATCTTCGCAGTAATGAACACTACTTAAGTAGTAGTGAAAAGAAGGCCTGAAAATAATTTAGGCCTGTACAGGATTTGAACCCATGACCTCTGAGCTGCACCGGTATCGCAGAGGTCATGGGTTCAAATCCCGTAAAGGCCTAAGTTATTTTCAGGCCTTCTTTTCTCTGCTACTTTAGTAGTGTTCATTACTGCGAAGATGGTTTTCACATTCACGTCTTTAACTGCAGTTCAAATACATGACTTTCATATATTCACAACCATTTACAGTTTCAACCATGGTTCTGTTGGATATATTGTAACGAAGTCTCTAGAAATTAATAGAACATTGATTTACCACAATGCTATTGCATGAGCCGAGTTAGAAACTTCTCCATATTCCAGAACATTCTATTGAGTTATTTTAAGGATCTGTCATCATTAGTATCTAGAATGTTTTTGCTGTTAAAAATAGTGTTTCAGAAATAAGCATGATGTAATCGGCTACTATAAATAAGGTTCAAGATCGTAAGGTTTTCAGAAGTTTAAGATAAATAATAAAGTGTTTAAAAAGGAAAACAAGAATCTTCTCCTGGCTTCGTGACATATGTCAAAAGCATTTGATAGTATTTGCTCGATATCCTATTATTGAGCTACATAGTAACGATTTTTCCCCAAGTGTGCTGGATTCGTTTCAGAGTTACCTCTCAGACTGACATCAGTGTGTTCAAATGGACGATGCAGTTTCTAAAACACTCCCTCTTAAATTTGACGTCCCACAAGGGTCTGTTTTAAGTCCTGCCCTGTTTACTATTTATTTACTGTTCCGAAGTGTTGTATTTCTACTTCCTTCGTTTCTAGCAAATTGTTAAGTACTCAAGGGTCTCGAGCAATACCAGCAATAGCAACAATGACAAATTACAAAAAGTTCAAAACTTTGCTGGCTGAATTGTGCTGGGACTTAAAAAATATGACCATTTTTCTGAACGACTATGATCATTCAATTAGCTACCTATTAAAGATAGACTTAAATTGGATGATGCAACTATGCTTTTCAAGTTAATTAATAATCTTGCCGCAGATCACCTTGCAAATAAGTTTAAGCTATGTTCTTGTGTTCATGACAAGCATATTCGATCAGCTGGATACCCTGGATATATCTTTCTGCCGCCCTTCAATTGATCAGAGGTCTCTTGCTTATAGAGGAGCAAAACTGTGGAACTCATTAAGCAGCAATCTTGAGTGTTTAAAATGTCCCAAGAAATTTAAGCATCAATTTACCGAGCTGCTATTAGGTTAACCTCATTATTGAATATTTTTTTCTTATGATGTACATATTTAGCTGTATCTATAGCTTTATATTCTTTAATTTTAGTTTTAGTTCTTTTAACCACTTGTTTTGATGCTGAAAAACACATTCAGAGAGCCTAAATAAAGATATACCTGTGATATGTCTGTATCTATCTGTATATTAGATAACAAAAGGTTTCGACAAAAATTTCATAATACAATACATACATATTGCGGCTCAGTTCATACACAGGTTGAAAGATGTGTTTTAATCTGAATGTTTTCTGGGAGAAGGTTGTTTTCTTTTGCCACGAAAGGCAATAGAGTGTTGACCAGTTGATAATCTGCATTTGGATAGATTTTACTGTGACGGGTTTTAAATGTTAATAAAAAGTAGCGAGCTTTAAACATGTTACTTCGGCAGCACGCCACCATTGTCAAATGTAAAATTTTTATAACTTCAGTGACCCTTCATAAAGAAAGGAAAGTGTGAAACTAAATTAGAATAAAAATGAGATGAATTAAATCAAAAGAATATATAAAATTAAATGTACAGTTTCACTGGAATAGAGTTTTGAGTGTTCAGAGTTGTTCTCCTTTTCCTTATTATAAGCATCTTGTAAATAAGGCACTCAAATCTCCATTGCATTTCTTTAGGATGCCATATTGCTCATGAAGATTACAAGCCTAGTGCTTGTAATGAGAGATGTAGTCGATGATGGAAGAAAGGTACTGAGGATTCTGTGAGCCCATTACCCTGGGACTGGGAAAGCATGTGTGATTTCGCTTTACACTAAACTAACCTCCTTATTTTAAGTGGCGAATGAGTCTGTCACTGACTGTGTAATCAGGGCAGAGATGGTGGCAACAGCCTTGAAAAATGCAGGAGAAACTGTAACTGACAGTCTTCTTATAGCAATGGTGCTAAAAGGATTACCAGAAATTTAAAAAGCTATGGTTGTCACACAGAGCAAGAAGCAACAAATATTTAGCGAATTCAAAGCCTCCCTAAGAAGCTTTAAGGACACTGAGAAAGCAAGAACAATAGATAGTAACGACTCCATTCTGAAAGCAGAAGAAAACCTCGAAGGGCAAAACCACCAGTGAAACTAAAAGGAAATGTAACCTGCTTCAACTGCACCCAGCAAGGCCATGTGGCTCGTTTCTGTCTAATCAAGCCCAAAGGAGGGAAATGGTGCAATACTTGTCACTCAAGTTTGCACAGTGATAAACATGTTGTCGTAAAAGAAAGACAGATGACAATAAGGCTAACCAAGCATCTGAGAAACAGACTAGGACATTGAACACCTATTTTTTTTTTTTTTTTTGAGACCTATGCCCACGTGGATGAGACTGTCTCTGGTAAACCTACATCCAGGAAGCCTACCACACTATGAGTTGATTGTGGTGCAACTGCTCATATTATTACTGATATGTCTAGGTTCATGAAGTTTGATGACACATTTAATCCAGACAAGCATGTCACTGAGTTTGCAAATGGAACTTGAGCAAACAATGTTGCCCTAAAAAGAGGAGATGTTGACATTACTATTGCTGATTCGACAGGAACACCTGTCAAAGCAACTTTGCAGAATGCCCTGTTCATACCATCTTACCCTCAGGATATATTCTCAGTTCAAGCTGCAATGAGAGAGGTGCCAGTGTGACTTTCCAGCCATATTCTGCTGAGCTGACATACAAGGATGGCACAAAGTTCATCACTGAGAAGCATGGCAGATTGTATTATTTCAACACATATGATAAGAACACCGACTCTGATTCCGTAAACTGTGTACGCTCAAGCAGTGAGTGGCACCAAATCCTAGGACAATGTAATTATGATGACATTGTGAAACTAGAACATGTTGTAGATGGTATGAAGGTTATCGTATTTGCATGTGTATGGGCCGCACTGTTTTCCAAATAAATTTTGTGCAAAATGGGGGTGCAGCCTATACACGGTATAACTTAAATCTTTATGTTTCATCAAGAGGCAAGGCTGCTAAGCTATGTTTGCTCGTGTCCCCGATCACGTACGCAACTTCATGCGATCATTTTTGAGGAAATAAAACAAAATGTTAGTGTACTTCGAGTAGAAATCTAGCAAAAATTACGCAGGTATCTTTTCTTTTTCCTTTTTTAAAATTTAAGACTGTTTTGAAGAAATGACTAGCCATTGTTGTTTGCATTTACAATGTTGTTCGATCGATGACATGCTATGTTAGATGATTTAACGTGACGAATTTTTACACGGGCAAATATATTAGACATATGAGCTCTACCAAACCTAGTGATTGTAATGTATGTATACTAGGAAAACTCACACAGAGTAGGAACAGAAAGCCTGATGCAAGTGCAACTATTCTGCTAGAGTTAGTTCATACTGATCTTTCTGGACCTGTTGATCCAGCCTCTAAAGAAGACTTTAGATATTGATTGGCTTTTACAGATGATTTTTCAGATGCAGTATTTGTCTTCCTTCTGAGGAACAAAAGTGATACAATGGCTTCTACAGAGAGATTTTTGGCGGATTCAGCCCATATGGTAAGGTGAGATGTATAAGATCAGACGATGGTGGTGAGTTAACTTCTGGGAAATTTGAGGCACTTCTCGGAAGGGATTGCATAAGGTACAGTACCTCTGCCCCCTACTCACCACACCAGAACGACACAGCCAAGTGGCACTGGAGAACCTTATTTGAAATGTGAGGATGCCTGCTTATACAAGTCAGTTTAGCTAAGGAGTTGTGGTCATATGCTGTTATGGCAGCGGTGTACACACGAAATAGGTGCTATAACAATCACCTAAACCAAACACCTTACTTTGTTCGCACAGGTCGGAGACCTAACTTGTCTAACATGAGAGTTATTGGGCTTGAGTGTTATGCCTACAAACAGAAGAGAAGCTAGACCCTTGCTGTACTAAAGGGATTTTTCTGGGGTACAACAAAGGAAACATACTTACCTTGTGTATTTCCCAGAGATTGGTAAGCTAATGAAGCACAGGGTGGTTAAATTCCCTTTAAACAGTGTTGATAAAAAGCAGACTGAAACAGGAAGTCTGTAATGTAATGATGAGGATTTCATGTTGTTACAGCATAACACTATTCCTGACATGTGTAATGCATCTGGTACTAGGGAGCTTACAAATCCATGACCTCCCAGAGGATGATGAAGTCTTAACACCAGAAGTAGTTTAGGCGCATGCACTACTGGATGTGGCATTATTTTGCGTGTTGTTGTGTTTTGAAGTCGTCTTTGTAGCAACAACGCATTGAAAGGTACGTTTTGTTCGGAATATTTGCTGAATCTAACACTTAATCTGCAAACACCTTCCAAATCTACTAACAGGAGCTTTCCTGAAACAGCTATTTGCTTCATTGAATGTTATTCACGTCATAGTTCTTATGTATTAAACAGGAAAGATGTCAAACTGCGAAAATAATGACCGAAGCCCTTTAAACACACAGTAAGGGAATAAATAAAAAGGGAAAATGGCGTTTTTAGTTCAATTCAGATACCAGGATAGATAAACCGGAAAAGAAACAAGTCTTCTTCATTCAAAGGTTCTAGGTTTTTATCCATTAATTGGCTATAAATCAGTTTTGAATAGTAAACAAATGTTCTTTCAGTGTTCTCGAGTAGTCACAAGATGCAGCACAAGCAATGCGAAGATTCAGTCAGATATACTGAAAAATTTTGTCAATTGAATACTCGTGAATAAGTTTGATATTTCAGTCCTTTAACATATACTGTCTTTGATTAGATATCGACTGCTATTTCAGGAACTCAGCAATGAAATGGACAAAAGAACACAATGTCTTATTGGGAAAAAAGGTTATGCTGTTCGAACTGCAGAAATACAAATTAGGAAGTCGTGAAAGAGGAAATTGCCTCGACCAAATTGCTAAAAGCCTGAATCAGTTATAAGAGCCATTCTTCAACGTGTCACAAAAGTCGATCACAGACAGACTAAGGTTACTGAAAAGAGACTTTAAGATGAAGGATTGATACGAGTGAAAGGGATCTGGAATTTCGTCAGAGAAATCAGAAATCCATGTAATAATGGAGGATTACCTCGAGAGAAAAGAAGAACAAGAAAGAGAATCAGAGAAAATTTCTGATAAAACAGCTAAAGAAAAAGCTTCCACCAAAGAGATGTGAAACAAAGCCATGAAACGTCTTGATGAGACAAAGAAAAGAGCAGGAGATGATCAACCACGGAAGAAAAAACATACACCGAATGAAACGATGGATTATTCAAGAGAAGCAACAGAGAAGGAATGTGAGCTGAAGAAAGAAGAACTAGAGTTTAGAAAGAAACAAGAAGAGGGGACATTGGCGCAACAAAACCTGATGCTTCAATAACATCAAGTAATCTCCAGGCAATTTCAAGTAATGTTTAAAAAACGAGCAGGAGTGTTTTATCGGGTTTAAAACCACGAGGCATAGCCGAGTGGTTTTTGACCCGATAAAACACGTGCTGCGAGTTTTTTGAACGGCTTCAAAAACATTCTTGGAAAAGCGTGTGTCAAGAGAGTTCATAACAATTATGCTTTTGTGAACGTTAGAAATTAGCATACGAGAAAAATATTAGGGATTAAATTAGTATGCAAGAAAGCAGGTTTGCCAAGGAAAACTTCTCATAATTTAAGGGTAACATGCGCAACCCGATTATTTCAAGAGTCAGTCGAGGAGAGGGTAACTAGAGAGAGAACAGGTCATCGATCAAATGCCTTGTTTAAATACGAAAAGTCCAGTGTTGAGCAAGAACACCAGGTTAGCAAGATTTTAGGCCCCCCTGAAAATAGGGAGACTACTGGCAAAAGGTCAAACGCAGAGGTTAGCGAAAACGAGTTGGAGTCACTTCTGCCAACTGATCTTGAATTCGAAGTTTCAGATGATGTATTGTCTAATATGCCTTTACCAGATTACTGTACTAATGGAATAGAGAATTTTTCCAGATGTGTATTTCACAACTGTACTATTAATTTGGTGCAAAAGTAAATTTACTGTGTGAAATTTGTTGAAAGAACATTAAATATGTTCCCACCATTTGTTGTGTCAGTTTCTGTGTTGATAATTAATTAATATTCATAAGCCACTTGCAGTGTCTTTATATCTGATAAAACACCGCATACTAATAAGGATGAGGTTTATCGATAGAAAGTCACTGCACGTGATGTATTATCTACCATTTGATAGGTTAATGGGCTTATGAATTATTGATGAGTTTTTGAAGACCAGTTGAAAAATCAACAACAGCAGTTCCACATGACGTGTCAAATGTTTATGCAGCAACAACAACAACAAAGCCAAGCACTACTTGAACTCTTGAAAAAGGGACATTGAATTCACTAAGTTGATTTTTGTTGTTGTTTTTATTATACATACAAAGCTAGATTTTCGCTTTGCCGCCCAAGTTTACCCTATTTAACTACCAACGAGTTTTAAAAAAATTGTTCAAGCTTTTTTTACACAGCCGTTATTCATCAGTGCTTTCTAATTTCCAAAATTTGATGAATCATGAAATGTTTTATTTTGAAGCTGTATCCTGATGTATGTCCTTGCTTGTGTAATCCCTTTAACGTTTTATCATTGCTAATAATTAAATAAAATAATCATCTAAAGCTGGTGGATTGATACCAAAGTACTCTCAGGTAACAGAACCATATAATTAGTGTGGGCGTTTTGCATCAAGGCACAAACTATGTACATTTTACCCACAGCACTTAAACCAACTTTAACGTTCTTTTTAAAATCCAAAAATTTGAAACAGTTGATTACATCATTAAAAACCTATTCAACTGAAACACGGGCACTGCTCGTAGATTTGTTGAATTCTACTTGATGTAGTGTCTACACTGCTCCCTTGTAAGGTCCCTATAAGTGTGCTCTAAGAGGGTATACTAGGTCGCCATACACACACATAGGTAAACCAGTAGCTGGTGAATTAGAAAATCTTTGCAGGTCTTGTAAAAGCCCAGACGAGGCCAGCATACCACTGTCATGACGTTTTCCTTCTACTGGACCACATAAATGACCAACCAGCCCATTAGGCAACGCTACTGATTGGAATTTCATGGAATGTACTCTTTTATGTCCATTATAAATGGCTCTCTGATTTTCTCCTGGCCTACACACTGCCTGCACTGTTCCATCAATAAACCCGCGGCATTTTTCCAAAGCTGCGCCTGATCGATATATCACATCAGCATACAACATAAGATTTGCCAGGGAAAGCAGGTCATGATTATACCTTGAGAGTAAGTGATGCCATCTGCTATAGATCCAGTCAATCATGTGGTTTGTAATAATACAAACACCCGGAACAGGTGTAGCAAAGTGAGAAACCATGTCCCCATAACGGCAAGGATACATAAAGTGCTTGAGATAGATATATAAAGCAGGAATCAATCCAACTACCAGGCCATTGTAAGTAACAATCTCATCTGGTAATCGAATATATTCAGCAAGCTTGAAAATGTCATTTTTGCAAAATCGGAATTCAGCTTTGCACTGGTCATTTCCCATATCATTTTCCAATATGAAAAGTCCGGGCTTTTTTAAGTATTGGCATCATACAGCAAAACAAACTGCCTCTCGTTGATAATTCCTTTTCTGTAGGCATATGCAATGCACTGTCTGTTCTCTCTGAAGTTCGGCATTTTAATCAACACGTTGATAAAACTATTTCTAAATAAAAAAAAGTCAGTCTGCAACTTAAATTTGGCAGGAAATCTCTGCGTCAATATCCGCAACTTGTAAGCTAAATTTGGCGTGCAACTGCAAACAGCAACGATAAAGTCGATGACGTCACATAAAGTCATCATCCAGAGAGAAGTCATCGATTCATAACCTCCCAACTAACAGGTTGAAGAAAGTCACATTTATAGGGCATCTGGTACTAATAGCTTGGAGAAAGTCCCAGGTAAACAGCCTGAGAAGCTTGTGACTGAAGATGAAACTGAGGGGAGCCCTCAATCCGTGGCTGAAGGTGCAAGGTAACCCACCAGTTGTGGTCTTACGAGGCAGAGTATATTGCACTGGCAGCAGCAGCATGGGAGGGTTTGTACCTCACTCAGCCGTTGAGCGACATCAGCGAGGTATGTGCATGAGTTGTAATCCTTGAAGATAGTCAGGGTACAATCGCACTATCTAAAAACTCTGTGAATCGAAAGAGGTTGAAGCATATTGACGTCTGCTATCACTTCATTCGCACAGTGTAGAGCACTTGTAAGGTTGTCACCAAGTATTGTCCCACAGCAGATATGACAGCTGACTTGATGACTAGGGCAGCTACAAAGTATAAGTTGCAAAAATTCAGGTATTACATTCTTGGATAGAATGTGTAGTCTCAGTTTACAAATTTTTGTTCCTCTTCATAGCGGAGCTCACAGCATGCGTGGTGTAGCCCCATAATTATACAAAATAGTAATAACCCATCAAGCTGAAAAATTTGGACTTGACACCGTACAGGCGTTTGTACAAGGTGCTACTTTTAGCATGCATGGCTAACTGCATTTCAGGCACTATGTTAGCCATTACATAATGAAAGGGCAAAGGAGAAGGTAATGCACAAGTGCGATTGCATGCATAACTAGGATACTCCATTAGTGTGCATCAAGAGACACCAGCAGATCACAATGAAGTGCTCATACTCGAGTGCCAAACTTTAGTGCAGTATATGGCGGGCACACAGTTAGGGCTTGTAGATGTGAGGCTACGTGGGCAAATAATTTGCAACATGCATTTTGAGTGGGAAATCAAATTTGTGAGGTTGTAGTTGAACAGTAATTCTCAGTGTTTTGCAATTTTCAATCAACAAAAAGCAACAATACCAGCAGAGCTAAAGCTTTGTCAATCGAAGGAAATTGTTATAATTCAAGTTCATGGAGAAAGGGTTTTGAGTGAAAATAGGCTGGAAAGAAAGAGACAGAGCAGTCAAAGAAAGCAAGAAAAGGCATAAGTAAAACGGCGAATATTTAGCAAAGAGCAACGTGAGAAAGGAGTACAAAGAGCTCCAGAAAACAAACAAAAAAGGGATCATCAACAAAGAGAAGCACGTGAGCAAATAACAGAGTTGATATTACTTGTGGAGGAGTTTGCGTATACATTAGACACAATATCAACTTAACTATCCTGGAAGATTTAGAAGACCCATCTTTTGAAACACTTTGGTTAAAATTACAACCTACTCTTCTCCCGAGGGGATTCAGTTGTATTGTGTTAGGAATAATCTATCATCCACCAAACAACAATAACCCTGCAATTTTAGATTATCTGTGGCAGAGATTGTTGTCCATTGAATCGCGCTTTCCCAACAGTGGTCTGCTTATTGTTGGAGATTTCAATTGGCTAAACACCAAGCATCTTCAGAACAGTTTTGATTTAAAACTGATTGTCAAATTCCCCATGCGAGGCGAATCTGAGAGAGTACTACAAGGGCCCCATCCAACGTCCTCCCCACGGTCTATCAGATCACATGTCCGTAGAGGTACAGCCAAAGGATAGATCCCAGCTTCCAGACTCACGATCAACAGTCAAAACAAGGGACTTAAAACCTAGTAATCGCCTTGCTATACGCACCTATGTCCAAGAGGTCGATGCGTACACCCTCGTCGGCAACATACATGGCTGTGCAGAGAAAGTGTCAATTTTTCAGTCAATAATCCAACATGGTCTGGACACTGTACTGCCCCTAAGATCCAAAGTGATCCACTCTAGAGATCCGCCCTGGATTAATCCAGGTTTGAAAGACCTAATCAAACGGCAGCAAAGAGCACTCGCATAAAATAATCAGCCGATCTTTTGATCTGCAGGTGGTGGTACTACGACTCCAAAGTTAGCCAGCTTAAGGAGTGCGAACCGTCTGCTTGGTGGAGTGGAGTTAAGAAACTGAGCGGCATGTCATCGGCCGTTAGGGACTCAGAAGAGCTAATGAGATCATTACAACACACATGTGAGGAGTCTCTCAGTGCCTTAGACCTGGCCAACCTGATCAATGATACTTTCCTCTCCCCAATGCAAGACTTTACACCGTTATCTGCTGAATCTTTCCAGCTGTTGCAAGACCACTCCACCGAGCAACCATTTGTCATTTCTACGCATACTGTTTACCTTCAGCTTCTGTCGATCAATCTTAGGAAAGCGTTTGGCCCCAACGGTGTTCCAGCATGGTTGCTAAAGGAAAATGCAGATCTTCTTTCCGATACAATATCTGATATCATTAACAGTTCTTTTGCTGAAAGACAGTTACCACCTTCTTGGAAATCAGCTGATACAGTGCCGATCACAAAGCAGAAACCAATTAAAGACATAAATAAACACCTGCTTCCCATCTCGTTAACGTCCATTCTCTCTAAGTTGGCAGAGGAGTTTGTTGTTGCGGAATACTTGCGACCATCAATTCTCAAGAAAATTGGAGACAACCAATTTGGGGCTATCCCAAAATCTTCTACAACACATGCATTAATCAGTACGGTGCACTCCTGGGCCAAACACACAGACAGTACAAGATCCACTGTCAGGGTCATCTTATTCGATTACCGGAAGGCTTTTGACTTGATAGACCATGTGCTTCTCGCTGGGAAACTGCTCGCCTTGGACATACCAATTGGCGTATCGTTTTGGATCATCGACTTCCTTACAGATCGTACGCACAGAGTCAAGTTGGGAGAAGATTGCCTGTCCGAATGGAGGAATGTACTGGCAGGGGTGCCTCAGGGAACCAAGCTCAGGCTGTGGCTGTTTATTCTTATGATCACCAACATCAACACCAGCAATGCAAATCTGTGGAGATAGGTGGATGACACAACTATTGCAGAGTGTGTTCAAAAGAAAGAAGGCAGTCGTATTCAATCTGATATGGAGGAACCGATTGCTAAATCTACTCAAAATAAGTTCCAGCTAAATGAATGAAATGTAAGGAGCTGCGGATTTAGTTCGCTAAATCAGCCGCGGACTTTGCTCCAATTGTTATCAACGGGAAAGCAATAGAGGTAGTGTCTACTGTTAAGTTGTTGGGGCTAAACATTTCTTCCGACCTTCGGTGGAACTGTCATGTTGCTGAAATAAGTAAAAAAGTTGCAAGTCAATTATATTTTCTTAAACAACTGAAGAGAGCGAATATTCTCACCAAAGATCTGCTAATCTTTTACAGGACTTGTATCCACCCAGTAATGGAATACGCATGCCCAGTGTTTCACAACACGCTTCCTACATGTTTATCTGTTGAGTTAGAACGGCAACAGAAACGTCCCATACAAATTATTTTTCCATTTGTTCCATATAGCGGATGCATTAAATCAAGCCAACTTGGAGACACTCTCCCAATGCAGGCAGTCTATCACAAGCTAAGCTTTTTGATTCCATCACCTGTAACTCAGACCATAAACTGTATAGGCTCCTGCCTCCTCAGAACAACTGTGAACTCAATTTGAGACGAAAGAGGAAATTTAATTTTTCTCTGGCTAAGACGAAGAGACTCATGAATACATTCATATATAGTAATTGTAGTTAATCTGTGTACATTTTTCTTATACTTTTCTCATACTTTTATTAGATTTTACTATTGCAACGATTAATCTAATTCAGCTTTTGGCTGCGATTTTAATTAGAATAAACTATCTACAATCTACGAGAAGCGAACCACAAAGGTTCCGAGAAAGAAGAGGAGGTAAGCATGGGTTTTCTCTCACGCTAAGGCGGGGAAAAATTCAAATTTTTTTTTTCACAATCTTCATTTGACTCTAGCTTCAGTTTATAATTCAAATCATGTAAAGCAATGACTTTTGTACCCATCGCTTTAAAACCTTCGCACCAGTTCATCAATCAAATAACATTTCAAAATGTTCATATTCTTAAAATTATTTCTTGTCTTACCTTTTGGATTGTTAAATGCAGTCGTGGTGTCTAGGGAAAATAAGTTAATTTACGGATTGTGTCTTGCCTGGAAAGTTTTAAAATGACAGCAAACTGCGTGAACAAGTTTCTATCATTCTCTCTTCAGTTAGCTATCACATAGTTTAAATTATTCATTAACAAAAATCGTGCTTTGTCGAAGATTTGTTTCACTCCAAGAATGAAGTGATAGCCGTTCCCAAAGTTGAAATATAATGAGATTGAGTCAGTGATGCTCATGTTTACATTAAGTCTGACGCGGTAATTTGATTTTGAAAATATTTTCATGTGAGAACCCGTCAAACATCTGAGAACTAAATTACTGAGTGCAAATGTGTGGTGCAAACAAACTGACAGGTAAAATGGTGTTAATCCTACCACAAGATGAGTGAATTTCCTTGTTTGTTTATGGTACTTTTCAGCGCTATGTTACAATGCTTTCTACTTGATTTGTTTGAACTTCAAGAAATGGTTTGTCTCACAAAACATGGAGCTGCACTTTCTCTTTGCTTGACATCTCAAGGCCTGCCTAATGCTCAGGTTATGATGAACATGGTTGCTATACGATAAATTTTTCCTAGTGCTGGAAACTGACGAATCAATCTCTGAAATTAATAGTCATAAAATTTGGC